TAGACAAACAGAAAGTAGCTATTGTGTCTCTATGTTATGAATTATAAGAAGAACTAGATCAATAAAATCAGTCATGATGGCGAAACTACGTAGTACAGATGAGAAGAAAACAAAATGGAAATTTCAGTAAGCAAAGTGGTTCGCAAAGTGGTTTTCTTCATTTTCAAAATAGAAAACAGAGTAGAATTCATTTTTACAAAGTGGAAGACCACTTTGCTCTCACAAGGACCACCAATCATTAGAAACACTGCTCGCAACGTGTTCGAAAAGTAAAATACAAAAATGAATTTTTTCTACATTTTATAAGTCTAACGGTGAAGATAAGTCACCACCAAATCGCTGCCATCAACGTCAAAATACGTAGAATCTGGCGACTGGATGATAGGATTTGGTGATGACTTATCCTCACCAAGTCTAACTTCCTCTGTCCTGTTCTTTCTTCTACCGTTGCCACGCAAAAACCTCCATCCTAAAAAAATGCTTTAGTGTCTTATTAGCCAACAAAATATGAAAGTCTAACGTAAAATAATATTAAAAGAGTATAATCATATTTCAGAACATTGTTCAAAATAAACATTCGTTAACTTTTCTTCCGGGAATCCGGGCTGTGAACATATTTTTTCTAGCTTAAAAGGCGTTGATAGACACGATTCTCGAAAGCGAAATTATTGGATACTTCTCTTGACCGCAATTTATTTCGTTCACTTTTAAACACCCTACAAATGCCAATAAACATATTTTCTCTGTGTCTTCTCATTTTCTAGAAGTTCTAATTATCGGTGGGTATCTAGCATTGTATACTTACGATGTCAGTATTGTATGGTACCAGGTACAGTTTCTGTCATGGAAAAATAACGAACTATAGTTTATTAAAATAAAAAATAAAATCTTCTCTTAAATCTTCAAATATAAACCTTTTAGCGAATGTATTTGAGGATCATACGTTCTAACTTAGAATCTCTAATACTAAAAGCCCTGCACTTAGCGCTCGAAACACAGCGTGATAGGAGTTCAACTTTTCTCAGAAATTTCGAAAGAATTATTTTTTGAAATGCTTTTTCTTGCCAAGCCGAATAGCCGTGACATGATTTTGCACGTCAATTACCGCTTTAACCACTTATTGAGATGAAAATAAATCGATACTAAAATAGAATTTAAAACGAAATTATAATTTCAAAAATTTTAACGTTCGAATTTACAAGTCATATTGCATTTACTAATCAAAGGATGATAAATCAAACGTTATATAAAACAAAAGTGATATAACTGAGCGATAATAGGCGCCATCTACTGCAATAGTTTTTAATGTCTAAATCAAGGGAAGATTTTATAAGACAAATTAAACTTAAATCAGTCAAACTTTCAGTCATTTTTACAGAAATATCTTTTAGAAATTTTCCTATAATATATAAGTAGTGGCGTTCTTCATTTTCATTTTCAACATGGACATTTTTTCATGGAACCTAAAATTAGGTTAAGAGCAAACTCTAGGAACAAATCGTTACAATCAACGTAAAAAATCAGAAAATTGAGTTGTTGAAGTCTTGTTCGTAATTTTTGTACCTCATGCATTTCATATTATAACTTATCGATAGATTATGTTGACTGATAACATTTTTGAGTCACACCCCCATTCATCGATGAATGTCGTTCGCGTGACTGGAAGTTTTTTCGTTAAATTTGGTCCGTCATTCAGATGCATGAATGACGACTGGGAAAATTGCACTGTATATGTGAATCAAATCAATTTACAGAATAACGCTTGAGCTTACTGCGAAGGACTTGAGATCTATAAGAAAATTTTTATTAGATTTTGGATTTAGTGATCAAAATTCAATTAATCTCAATTTCTCTCTGTATTCCGGTAACAAACCTGGAAAACCAGCAACATACAGGAGAAGTGTTCTTAATAAAACTCTTCGCGTGATTGATAGACAACATTCAATCTATTTTCTGTACAAACTAGAACGCCACATCCGTAGTGTCCACTGGTCTATTGTTCTCCATATTACGAGAAGCAGATTTCTTTAAATTTTTGATTATATAATTGAACTGATCCAATTAGATTTCAGGAAAAGCACTGTTTTTTACCGAAAACGATAAAATAATTCTAAGACGAAGACATAGACTGTTGATACGCAGATTACATGGTGATACGTTTTTTTGCAACTACATAAATTATAATAGTATATCGAGTATTTTTTTCTTTCGCTTGGAATTTCTAAAATACATGGATATAGCATAGTACAGTTTCGTTTGTTATTGTATTTTGTTATATTCTAGAACGTATCTGTTTGTATATTATTGTATCTAATAAAAATTATTCGACGAATCGGAGCCGAATGAGTTCGGCAACAAAAGGGCCGCTGCCCTTGCAACAACAACAACAACAACAAGTATCATCTTCTATAAACAATAATGTACAGTCAGCAAACCGTTCGTCATTAGCCAACAATTCAAACAATAATAACACCATCAATAATTCCACACCATCTCAGTATCACCAACATATTCGTTCAGATTTATTACCTACACAAGAACAAATTCGTTTAGCACAGTTAATAGAGGATAAAAAACATGATCATCCAGATGTACAAGATACGGTGGAAAAAATCTTAAATGTTGTAGAAAATTCAACACAAGAAGATGCTCTTATTGCTTTACACGATTCTGATTATGATGTACAAAAAGCCGTAGCATTATTAATGGAAAAAGGACACGATGTAGCCAGTGAATGGCACACAGCGGGCTCTAAAAAAAATAAAAATCTAAAAATAAATAATGGAACAGGTAGACAAATAAGAGCTCTTTTTTAGTAGAAAAATTGATTATGCACTTATCATTATAACATACACCTTCCGTTCAATTTCTTGAATGAAACTTTCTCTATTACTTTTTTTCCCTTATGTATTGAATAAATCGGTCACTCTTTCTTTTATTTTTAATATCTTATCAAAAAACAAAACGTTCACCTACTTGTTGATTTTTAGGTACAAGTGATCAAAATAATGGTACACCATCAAACGATATTCAAGAGAATTTACAAGATACTCGTCAAATAATTCCAAAAAATCAGAACAATTTAACTCGTCCAAAACGTTCTCGACGTGGAGAACATCAACAATCGTCACAACAACAACAACAATATTCTGATTTGTCAGCCGGTGATAATAATAACAATAATAATTTTTCTAATAATAATTATTATTATACACGGTATCAAAATCGACCAAATTATCTTCAGTATGGAAATAGTGGCATTTCAACAAGACCACCAAGATATAATGATGTCGGAAGATATCCGGGCAAGTTTAAAAAGATAGAAACTTGATTGAAACTTTGATTTCTTTTGTAAAGAAGTCAAACGCAAATTAATTATATTTATTCTTTATTATAATTTTTTGTTTTAGGACGATTACGTCGTGGTAGTGGTATGAGACGAGGTGGTGGCAGTGGTTCATCTCGTTATTATGGTGGTCAGCGAGGAACTAGACGAGGCGGCGGTCGATATTATAATTCAAATGATGTGAATAATGAAAATAATAATGTAAATAATCTAGATGATGAATTGAATATAGGTGCTGGCGATCACGTTGATTCTCAGAGTGCAGATATACTTCATCCAGTGAATCATCATATTGATCAAAACAATAAATCAGAGACACAGAATATAGCTATGGAAGTGGGTACATGGAATAGTAATGAACATCAGAATCCATCCGCGTCACAACAGATACAACATCAAACACAAAAAAGACTACCAATACAAGGAGGTAATGGCCAAGAAACATTTGATGTAGGAAATTGGAATGGAGAGACGATTGTGTATGAGAGAGGAGGAGGAAATCAAGAACCAGGACGGAAAGGAGTACGAAAGGAGCAGGATTTAAATAATGAGCAACAACGAACATTTCAACAGCAGCAACCACAACATCAACAGCATGATCTAAATGCACATAATCAGCAGCTACATCAAGGATTTAATGAACAAACAAATATGATAGGTACAGCCTTAGCTGTCTGTCTGTGTCGTAAAAACGAATTAATATCTCAAAAATTTCCCTTTTCTTTATTTTTGCTGAAAAATCTTTTTATTAATTAATTGGAAAATTCTCTTAATATACTTATAACTTATTTACATTTCTTAATATGAGCTGTTTATAATGCACGTTGTTTCAGGTATCTTGTTAAGAAATAGCAAACCTTCACAAATGAGTACTATTCAATATTTATTCGTTTGGATTCGTCTTTCTAGCACCAAGTGGTCAATTTGATCGTATCGAGGCTGAACGTCAGATCAAAAATGCTATTGGGATTCCACAAAAGCCTCCACAACAACAATATCCAGTACCTCAAAATTTGATAAAAACGTCGATGAATATAATGGACTCATTGCAACAGCCTAAGCAACAACAGTATCCATCTTATGAATCATCACAACAAGGTAACAGTTTACTGCGTCATTTTCTATGAGTTTATCTCTGTCTCACCAAATACTAAATAAATTTATCACAATTTGTTATAGCTGTTGCTGTTAGCGAAGCGGTGAAAAAAAAATCAACAACAACAAAAAGTTCTTCAGCCAATCTCCACTCCTCCAGCAAATTCTTCTCGCATTCCACAAGTACCAGTGATTATGCCCGATCATTTTGATTCAACAGTAGAAAAAATTGATGTACAATTTGGAAATTTAGGTAAGATGATGAAATGGAGTAAAACAGTGATAGACATATAGAGTTGCATCAAGAAAGTTGTTAATTTCTATTTGAACAAAAAGTCAAATAAGCTATACATTAATGAATTTAAAAGCTGGATGAGTAAATGTTTTCCTCATTTTGATTTTTGTATTGCCAAATTAAGTGCTACATTAACCAAAGTACAGCAGAGTCTTCTTGAATTAGTATTTGCGCAAGACAACTTTTTTTATGTTAAAAAAATGAGATTCTTTATCAACCATCAGCCTTTTCGTTTGATTTGCATTTTCTTCTATTATCCGTGTTTAGAATTCGATGAAAATGTGCATCATCCACCGCTTCAGCATCCATATTTAACCCACTCTCAACAATATCCGACTTCCACAAATTCTCAATCTCAAATTGTTTACAGT